GCAGCATGCCCGTGGACACTGTTGTGAGTGTACTGGGAATGCAGAGTTATTTGCATCGCTGCATTGTGTCGCTGTTACAGCAGCAGCCTTACGTTCCGCAGTCAGCCTTGCTAGCGAGGAGGAAGTCCAGCCAGGCCCTCCTACTGTCTCGCTCGAGCTTAGCTGTGAGAGCAGTGTTGGCCATAGGTTGGAACATTAGTTTTGCATCGGTGAACGTGCGGTTTTGTGGAGACTGGAGCACGTAACTCAACCGAGCCAAAGATGAAGTGGTTTGGTGGGGAAGATGCTCTTTCGGAATGTTTTGTGTTTAATCAGTGAGGATTAATGATCAGAACAATGGCATGCTGGACACAAAACGGAGGGAAGAGATCTGGCGGTGAGCATCAGACTCTCTCTCATTCTCATCCCGCACCCTGTGCTTGTCAGCCCCAACCAAAGCAGCAAGCATTCTCTTCCGTCCTGCTATACCGGAAGAGACGCTATAGTAAACTAACCTAGCTGCGCTGTGACCGCTCAGCGAAAGAGATGTCGGCAGGGCGCTGTGTCTGTTATGTAACAAGCTAGCACTGCCAGTGAGCTAGCGACATGCCCGTGCAAATCCTCGTGAGCGCGCTGGGAAGCTGATTGTAGCATGAACCGGGCAGTCTAGCTAGCCGGGAGAGCGGCGTTCAACACAGCTAGCTTGATGGGGGTTGGTGGTAGGAAAGTAGCGTGTTTAAGAATGTAATGTGTTTTAATAAACAGTTTAACATTCACAAAAGCATCACCATAGTGTATACAAGCAAAACATGTTTTAGGACAGCGGCTTCTTGAACACAAGGCCGCAGGGAAGTGTGTGCATGTGATTGGAGGAGGTAGAACCCATAGAGTCCAGTAGAGGGCAGAGCCTGTGTGAGATGAAAAATAGAGGAGGCATAACTTAAGGGATAGTAGATACAGTAAAGTTGTTTACATTTAATGTACATTTAGCAACTATTTTAATTCCAACTGTTTGAACAGGCAAGGCTTGGATAGGCCTCTATGATCACAGCTGGAGATGGTCGTTGAATAACAGCAGCTTCTATGGTGACGGAGACACAGAGTTTAGAAACTGGTATCCTAGAGTCTCAAACAATCATATTGGACAACTGGAACCGCTCTGTGTGACGCTTCAAAACTATGAATTCATTGGAACGTGGATGGAGTCTAACTGCAACTCCCAAAGTAGATTTGTGTGCTACAATGGTGAGTTTTCTTAAAGCATATGACTTCACAAAGGGCTAAATAGATCTTCTGCATAGTATATTATTAATAATTTTTCTTCATCAATATATTTCCAGGTACCGTAATACCACCATTTGTAAAAGTCGACACACCTTTGAAGTGGACTGAAGCTCAGAGATACTGCAGGGAGAATTACGTCGATCTAGCCAGGTACAGTGTGCACTAATAAAGACTCCAACACATACAATAGTTCAGTACTGAAGCAACTACTTAACAACTACTATCTGTTCTGTTGATAAAATTCAGCTTGTTCCGTATTGTGACTCATATTGTCCCAAATTGATTGGAAATCTGTCCTACTGTTTTATTTGATTATTTTTGTAATTTGAATCCATCCTGTTTGTTCATTCATTATTTTATAATTGCTTTGTCTTCAAGTTATATATATTTAATACTTTGTTTTATGAGTGTAAGGCACTTTGAGCTTTTTCATGTGGTATGATGATGTTGATGATGATGATCATTGTGATTACAAACAGTATTAGTGAAAGAAACATAGCACAGATAGTATATGTCAATTGTAGCGTGATTATGTTGCACTGATTTTAAGATGTTAATTAACAGCTACATTGTACAGGATGCTGAACACTTTATCAAATCCTTAAAGTTCCCATGAATCGGATATTTGCTTCTGTATATGTATGTGTTTCCTGTTAAAACACAAAGCTAGGGAAGGACTTGTCGCAAATATTGATTGACGTTTGCAGTAGCCAATAGCGCTGAACAACATGTTAATTACTTTCCCACGTAACAAAAAAGCCATGTGAAAAGTAATTATATTTAATTAGTAAGTGAATGGTCTTCCCAGAAACTGTGTGAAGCCAGAGACTGTTGTATGGGGCACTTAATAAGTGGGGGGTATGGGGGTCCTTCCCCAGAAGATTTTGAGCATTAAACACTTAATTTCCTGCATTCTAGCAAACAATTCTTCTCCAATTTCTGCCTTTTCTGCACCAATTTATAGTGGAATTATATAAAGGGAAACACAAAATTCAGGTGGTGATTCAAAATATATAATTATAATAGAATATAATGTAGTGAGGCTCTCAGGCATTCTTTATTGCTTTTAAATATTTTTCTCCTGTAGATTAACTTATTTAATATCATCCCGTGCAGTCGATATTGACTACGAGCTATTTACAGCGTACCCAGCTGTATTCTAACATTAACTTAGCTCTCCTTATTAGCTAGGCTCCTTACATGCTTGCTACTAACTTTTTTAAGCTGGGTCTCCACATTGACAGAGTTGTGGTTGGACTGATTTGTGCAGCTGTGTTCATGAGAGGGAGAGAGAGAGATGGACGAGCGCCAGGATGTGCTGCGTGAATATGCACTTCCTGTAGCTCTGAAATCAATATGTGGCAGTCAGCGTTGATATTGAACGTATGGGAAATACTGTAACTTATCTGCTCATGTTCAAAACTTTCTGCACATTCAGAATTTCTCCCACGTATCTGTGGTTTCTGACATGTAAAGAAAAAAGTCGTAATATTTGGAGACTAACATAATTAGCCTATTTAAAGAGAATTCATAATATTTTACTACATGCCCTAGACTGCATTACTTAACTGATTCCCTGGAAGTATCCCCTTGACCATCCGATAGACACAGAACTGGATGGGACGAGTAGGTGCAAAACTAACCGACAACACCTGTGATCAGGCAGATTTCTCAGGACAAATCCACACACGTTAACTTCAGCACCACTGCCGCTTACAATCCCCAACAGCGCAAGTCAGGGCTTCAGTTTTTAACATTACATAGCTTATTGAAACTACTGTATATGTCCGCTTTGGCACAAACTGTCTGCAGCTCACAGCGCGAGGTAGGTCCAAGTCACTCGCTGGTGTCGGCAGCGAAGTTGCTTTCAGGGTAAGTCATGTTCATGGTGTATTATAATAATAAATAAACACTTTTCCATGGTAATACCAAGAAAGAGAGTGTCAGTTTTCCAGTTTACACAGTAAACACCGTGTGGGTAAAATTTTACAGATGATTCTCTGACTTCCCGTTCCTGTGAAGGCAGCAGGTTTCAATGGCCTTAGAATTTCCAACTAACAAACGCCCTCCCGAAAGCAGCTCAACGCCCCTCTTTCCAAAATATTGCTTCCAGCGCCCCCATTGTCCTCGGAACACCCCCTGGGGGGCGGTACTGCTTACGTTGAGAAACACTAAGCTAGCTGTTACTTTAGCAACAAGTAAAGCTATCTGTTCTTCAACAAACTCTGTAAATCACTGATAGTTGAGGCAGGGCAGCCAAGGGACATCAGAGGGAGAACCAGAAAATATTGCTCTCCATTAAACATGATCCATTTTCACCAAGATCTGTGAATAAAGATGTGTTTTTGTTTTTGTACAGTAATCAGTGAGGCCCAGTCAGACCCCAGAAAAACTACAGTCATAAAAATGAGAAAGCTTTTCATTGGACGCTCCATTAATAGACGCCCCAGAGTGCAGGATCAGATCAGTCATCAACATTTTAAAATAATTTTCCAGGAAATGACATACTCTAAAATCCCGTCAAGCATATCTTCAAAACAACATTTTTTATCATTGTTGGGTTGGGTATTGGTGACATATAGTGCAAGGCATGTGCAATAAAAACAAATCAACATCGGTTTTGATTTCATTGGGACCTAAATTATATTTCCCAACAATCACTACCAATGCACTGTGTCTGATTGGTGCCGTGTCTTATGTTTTACTCAACCTCCCCTTGATGTGTATATGCTGTTGTTTCTCTCACAGTGTACGAAATGTGGCAGAAAATGACTACATCACAAACCTGGCAGCTGGGGACTCTGTATGGATCGGTTTGCACTGGGAACAGCTGTGGTCTGATGGGAGCAACTCGCTGTTTCAGAACTGGGCCGGTGGGCAACCAGACAGCGCAGAGCAGTGTGTCACCACATCGTTCAGTAACTCAGGACTGTGGTCAGATGATAGCTGCTCCCTCACTTTCCCGTTCATCTGTTACTCAACAAGTAATGTTATTTCTACTCACATACTGTATAGAGATTCATTGTGGCATTAAGGCAGTCGAGTTAATTATTAGCAATTATATATTGTACCTTTAAGATCAGAAGTACACTCATTCTAGACTTGTGTACATAGGAAAGTCTGTTAAGGCAGAAACATGAATGTTCTGTATTTTTAATGTTCTTCTGCTAAATGCTGTTCAGAAAGTTATATACAGCAGATAAACCTGTGGAAATCTAGTGATCATGTTGTAAGCAGCACAGTACGTAAAACTTACATTACTAAAGAAATGGCATTTCTTGTCTGTAAGGTGAATGTTTGCATTCTATAAATGTGTGCTCAGTAGACACAGGACCTCCAAAATAAAATAAAATGAAAACTATCAATACAGAAATCTGCAAATAAAATAAACGTTTTGCGACAACAAAAACAACAAATACCATAAACATTGTCATCTATAGCTTACAAAAATGTTTCTCATCAGTATAATGCTGTTTAAACTGATGAATTCTTAATTTATTGTTCATTACCAATGTCTTGTGAAACACACACTGTGATGTGGTTAGATGTAAAATGTGACATAATTTTTGCTAACACAAACTTCAGTATTAAATAATTTTATTTCACATAGCCCCATCAGGTTTTATTAACAATGGGATACAAAATGGATCAACCTTAAAAGCAAGCTGGAGGATAAATAATTTTTCACGCAATGTTTTTTGTTGATAAATTAATTCACTTCTCTTCTTCTGTCTCAGCTCCTCCAAAAACAGAAGACTTCAGATCAATAGGACAAAATGAGACCAGTATCACTCTGCAGTGGAATAAAGTGAACAACAACTTCAGCTTTATTCTCCAGTTTAATGATGCAGAGATCAACATCACTGCACCAGATGGAGATGGACCAGTAACTTACACAGTCTCATCTCTCACTGCTGCAACTGAATACACATTCACTCTCTTCTCTGTGTTTGAGAACGTCAGAAGCAGCGGAGTAAACATTACTGCAGTTACCGGTAATATATGTCACTTTATTTCTATGCTCTGTATGTTAGCGAGCCATCATCTGCTTTTCAGAGCACCAGTGTAAAACTAAGACGTATCTACTGGGTATAATATTCATTAAAGTAATGTGCTACTCAACAACATGCATTTTTTTGCATGTTAATTTAACTCAGCATTGCTTTGTCCAGCACTGTAAAATCCTTTTAATTTTATGAAAATGTTTTTTTTAAATTTTGGTACATTGTGATTTTTAATTTATCATGGAGTACATCTGTTAGTAAATTGAAGAATTGTTTCACTTGCTCTTTCCCTGACAGACAACATTAGTTTTTATTAACTTTAGGGTAAAAAAAAGAACCACCTTTAACTGACATTACTTAATATTTATTACACTAAATAAAATTTTTTTCAATGTTTTGTTTGTCTGTCTCAGCTCCTCCAAACGTAGTAAACTTTAAATCAACAGCACAAGATGTCACCAGTATCACTCTGCAGTGGAACAAAGTGAACAACAGCGTCAGCTTTATTCTCCAGTTTAATGATGCAGAGATCACATCACTGCACCAGATGGAGATGGACCAGTAACTTACACAGTCTCATCTCTCACTGCTGCAACTGAATACACATTCACTCTCCTCTCTGTGTTTGAGAACGTCAGAAGCAGTGGAGTGAGCGTTACTGCAGTTACTGGTAAGATGTTTGACTTCATTAATGTGTATTTAACCAGAATAACATTTTCATCTTGCAGCTTTGGATCTGCACCAAATTTGATAAGTATAACAATAGTTCCGCCCTGAACGTGTCCATATGCCAATATTCACTCAAAGTCATAGCGCCACCTGCTGACACGTTTTATGCTGTAATGTACTACTCCTACCAGGTTGGATGTATCAACTTCAAAACTGTCCCAGAAAACCCATAACACATTGATGAAGCTATGATGTTAAATTTGTGAGTTTAACATCATAGCGAAGTCCCATACTCATAGCGCCACCTCCTGGCAAGCACCTTCAAAGAAGCAGCCCCCTTGGCACGTTTCACCTACATGTATGAAATTTCTGTGGCATGTGTATCGTGTCCAGACGTACCAAAAGCCTCTTTGCCATTTTGAATTTTATGGTCATTTTTGGATGATTTACACACTCCGTACTTTAACGAACTCCTCCTAGGCATTAGTCCGATCGACTTCAAATTTCTGCTGTGCCTTATAAAGGCATTGACGATGAAAAGTTGTGCTATCTGCAAGTTTTTGTCAATGGGCGTGTCCGTGGCATGGCGTCCGAAATCGCTGATTCGCCGTGAAACAGGAAGTTGCTATAACTTCAGTGTGCATGCTCAGATCTGCACCAAACTGCACATGTTGGAAAGAGTCCCGCCCGGAACACATCCATATGCCAACAAACACACAATGTCATAGCGCCTCCTGCTGGCAACAGGAAGTGTCAAGGGAATTAATCAGATGGATTTTAGACTGTGCCTTCTAAAGGCATTGACGATGAAAAGTTGTGCTGTTTTTGTCGATGGGCATGTCCGTGGTGTGGTGTCAAGGATCAACAGTTCAGCATAAAACAGTAAATTTATAATAACTTTAATGTGCAAGCTCTGATCTGTACCAAACTTTACATGGTCGATAACAGTCCCATCCTGAACACATCTACATGAAAATATTCACTCAAAGTCATAGCATCACCCACTGGTAAAAGAAGTAAGGTGTTTCTGACAAAACGTGGCTGCCTCACACCAGAGGGCTTGCCCAACGCTGCTTACAGCTTTAACTTATTACTTTAACTTATTACTTGTTTTCTTTTTTTTTTTAAATGCATTTTCATTTTATTTTTTATTTTTTGATATATCATGCAACTGAAATTTGTTTGTCTCATTATGAATTACCAATTCATCTTAAAATATTTGTCTTTCCATGTTAACAAAAACCATCTTTCTAAAACATCTCTGACTAGTATTTTGGCAACAAACTGCAACAAACAGTACAACTTACAATATAGAAAATGCTTAAAATGACAAAAAAAAGTACTGGTTAGAACTGGTTCTTTTTTATTATCAGTGGTAACAGTGTTAAGGCATTAGACAAAAAATCCAGCAAGGCTGTTTGGTTCAGTTTCAGTGGAGCATTCATTGTTTAGTCATGATACAAAAAAAAATCTCATCATCAAGGAAAATGCAACTCCACAATATAGCTGAACCCACCTGAAACACAGTGCCTTTTTATGTTCACTTTTAAAGAGTCTGCATGCTTTATAAGTAATTAATAAAAATTGAATGTGCTTTGTTTTAGGAAATCGTCAGTACTACTTTGAGAGTACGCCACTGAACTGGACTGAAGCTCAAAGCTTCTGCAGAGAGGTCTACACTGACCTGGCCACCATAGAAACCACAACTGACTACTATGCTGTGAGCAACACCAAACTAAACTACCTAGGCAAGTTCTGAAACTGGAATAACATACTGTACATAACATAAACATAACATATACGGTGTGTGTAATATATATATATATATATATATATATATATATATATATATATATATATATATATAAAATTATAAAATATGATAATGTGGAATGTAAAAGAACAACAAAGGCCCTCACTGAAATACATCCATAGTATTGTTTCAAAGAGTAATCAACTGGAACATTTATTGTATGACTGTAATCTGTTTTGTCTGTATTTGTCTAATTAAATTCTCTCCTCTGGGTATTTTTAATGTCCCTGGGTACAACATGTTCAGGAGGGACCGAGACAAGGGTAAAGGTGGAGGATTATTAATCTATGTTAAAGAGACAATTATATGCGGTCTCATTGAGTGGTCACATGTAACCGACATGGAATGTATTGGATTGAATATTTCAATGTCTCCAGAAATGTATTTTACTGTTGTCTGTCTGTATTGACTACCATCATCTAAAAGCTTGTTTTATGAGCAGCTATACAGAATACTTAAAGAATGTGACGGTTAAAAAATATTATATTAATGGGTGATTTAAACATAAATTTGGATAATAAATCAGATAGAAAAAACTTAAGGAGATAACAGGCCAGTTTAGTCTTACTCAATTGGTGCAAGGACCAAATGGAGTAACCAGTTAATCCCCAACACAAATTGATCTGATGTTCACAAACAGACCTGAAAGAATAACAAAGTCCTTTAACTTGTTAACTGGCTTGTCTGATCATAATACAAACTGACTGGTCTCACATTTTATCCAGTGAAGAAGTTGAGAACAGCAGAACTATACAGAACTTTAAACAAAGTAATGTCCTCCTTCGCAAGGAAGGTGCAACACAAACTTATACATAAAAATACTTTAACATGGCTTAATGAAACTATTCGACAACAAATGAAAGAACAAGACCTGGCATTGAAAAGAGCACTTAAATCAGGTAAAAGTAATGATAGGCTTATCTTTACATCACTTCGAACTAAGGTAGTGAGGAATATAAAGAAGGCTAAAGTTGAGATTTTTTATTAGCGTTATTAATGATGCCAGGGGAAATGGGAAATCTGTCTGTAAAAATGTCAGTAGACTAACTAGAAGTAATAAAGATCAGAGAACAAAGGAACCTGAACTTATGGAATTTTAACACACATTATGATGACTTGATAGCAAGTACTATGATTATTTCTTTTATAAATTCAGTTGAGGAGTTGGCCCAGAGCTTCTCTCCTAGAACTACAGATTGTATCCCAATCAATGATGCCAAGCCAATTTTTAGAATAACAGAAATAACTGAATCAGAGATTAAAAACGTTATAAGCTCCTTAAGAGACTCAAAAGCAAAGGATGCGTATGGATTGGATACCACATTTTTTTAAATCAAACAAGGATGTCCTAGTCTGTCCAATTGCTCGTGTGATTAATTTATCAATTATGCATGGTATTTTTCCAAGCAACTGGAAGACAGCTGTTGTGACACACATTTTTAAGGCAGGTGACTGAACAACAGTGGGAAATTAAAGACCCATCAGTATTTTTCCCATGGTATCAAAGTTTGACGAAAGACCCATCTTTCAAAGCAGCTGACTACTCATCTGAGCACAAATTACTTTCTTTTGCAACCAATGAAATTTGGATTCCGTTTCAGTCACTCTACCAAAACAGCCAACTGTTATTTTATTGAAAATATAAAATCAAAATTAGATGAAGGTGGTGAAATAGGAGGAGTTTTGGGAAGTAAACCATGAAGAGTTTGACAAGTAAACCATGAGGTACTCCTCTCAAAGCTATCCTTTTTAAATTTTTCCAAAGATGCAATTAAATGGATGACCTCATACCTAAGCAACAGGAAGCAAAGTGTACATATTTGCAATGCTCAGGCTACATACCTATGTAGTATGAGGGTTTTGGTATGGGTAATAAGTATTTCTTCCCACTTCAGTCTCAGTAGATTCAGTATACGTCCAGAATTAACCAGATTGACCTTGGACCAGAGGCTGGAAACTCAAATTTTAACACTTTATTAACAAACGACTAAAACAAACAAAAACACCATAAGAACTGGGCAACATACAGACCCACTTAGCGCCACAAAAACCACTCTACATTTCACTGTAATGGTCACAGCTACTATGAGTGGATCAACAATACACACCGTGCAGACTCACGGTTCGTATAACATTATGATAACTGAATAAACTACAGTATAATTGCACAGAAGACAGTAATATTACACGTTACCCTAGCCCAAAATTGAATAATAAATTCTAAAATAGTGTATTTTGCACCTTTAATTTAAATGTACTGCTATATACACAAAAGTGCAATAACATGTGGTTTGCAAACACTTTAAACAAATAAGATGCTTTTTACCAGCAGTATTCCCTTTACACAGTAGCAATAAAATATTTCTTGTAAACTCAACTT